CGTTTTACAGATGGGAAAAACTGGGCAAATCAGTACAGTTCACCCCAAGACATCCAGCAGATTATTACCAGATTCCACTAGGCTGAAACGTCAACGTTCCCACCAACGCTGAGCTGACATACCTGAGATTTTAGCCTCCTGGTTTTGAATACATCACTTACAACAGAAGCGTTTAGTCTTCTAAACACCCACGGAATTTAAAGAGCTAGGGTTGGAATTAACGACACCCCAGAAAAGCTATCAGAAAGGAGATGCAAACTCATTTCCACACCTGGCAGGACAGCACAGACAAAACGAATTAAGCAAGAGCTCCTCATAAGAAAGGGAAATGAACCTGGTAGCAGCACAGTCCCCGTGAAGCTTATACACCCACAAGGGGCCACCACATTACAAGGTGGTTACTGCTTTAGTCAATAAGAAGAGTCTGAGCCAAAAGCTGAAATCATGATCCCGGGCCTGGGGGGTGAGATGTTTAGATATTTGGTACTGCTATTCCTCAACTCTTGCACTCCCCAGCCATGAGAACAGTCACTATTTACACTACAGAGGCATCACAGCTCTCCTAGTTTACCTATAAAACACGTGAGAAAAAAGTTAATTGAAGAACAACATACCTGATAACCTTCCACAAAAGGCCTGAACATCGCTGACAAGAAAGATACCGTAACACTTCCTTTGTCAGTAGGGTAGATTTCCTGCTAAAGTTGTTTGAATGGCATCACATTTTGTGAGTAGAAAACATCCTTCCTCAAAATCCTGGGAGAGAGAAGCATAACTGAAATGTTAACATCTACAGAAAGTGCAGCTACCTTTTTCCCTCAAAATCAACAGCAAAACCCACACAGCCAGACACCACTTCAATTTCTGAACCCAGTTCTCAAGAAACTCAAAACAAAATTTTCCTGTGTACCAGAAATACCCTTAAAAAAACACCATGGGAACGTGTTCTGAAACTCAGCAGCATCCGGATACACAACAGGCCTAGGAGCAAAGAATGTGGCTGTGGCTGCCCCTGTAACAGCCCTCCCGAGCTCCCTCGGGATTTTGTCAGAAGAGGGTCGGGTTGTCTGGTTCAGGTTTGGGTTTGGTTTGGTTTTTTTTTAAGTCAGGATTCGCTTTTATCTCACGTCCACTGTTTGTGATAAATAGTGACGTAGTTCCCTGACTTCCCCTCTACAAAAAAGACAACACAATGGCCAGAAGTTACCAGTTATGGAAACCTCAATGGCAAAACCATTTTACTACTAATATCGGCGCAGGGGGAGGAGACACAAGACACACACAGAGGATGTGAGGGGATGGGACAGAGACACGGATGACCAGAGGGGTGGGTTGCTAAGAGACCCCTTAACATTACAGCAACTCTTTCATCTGACTCAGTCATAGCCAGTCACCTTCCTGTCCCTTGCTTGCGTTCGGCACTCACAAAAAACCGCAAGAGGCAAGAATTCCTAACAATGAAAAGTAAACAGTGCCACTCAGCCTTCAAAAAATCATTTTTAAAAAGTTTTAAAATAAAAACTACACCTGGACTTCCCAGGTTATGTTGGGCACGATGCTGAGCCACGTTTTTACTAACAAACTGGTGCTCACCTGCATTTCAAGCTGGCTGGAGTCGAACCAGCTCCCACCCAGCAGGACGAGTACAAGATGACACAGCAAGCCTGGCAGAGAGCAAAGTGCTGTGCGCTGCCAGCTGTGGCCAGCTGTGCGGGGAGAGGTGCAGACATACCCAGCCCTGTAATAAGGCAGTATGCAGGAGCAACGCGGGCTTTGTCCGAGCCAGGGTTGTAAGGGGCAGGGGGGTGACACCAGGGGAAACTCTCTTCAAGCAAATCGGATGCAGGTGAAGCTTCTGTAAGACTCTACCAGGGACACTGTTATGTCACCAGGAAAGTTCTTCCTTCAAAACCATTCCTAGGCTGCATCGCCTCAACAAGACATTGGCTGCGGACATTTAAATCAGGGTTTACTGTAAGCACAAATCTGAACCTACACGAGATAAACCCCAGCAATAAAAAGCTTAAAGGGCTCAACCATGAATCATCAAAATATTTTTTAAAAAGTCTACTAATGCATAGAAACATCGAAACCTTCAGAGTTGGGGGTGTTAAGAGGAACGTTGGCCGCTGTCTAACCACACCAGCGCAGATACCGCTGTGCAGTCGAGGAGAGGGGGGCACAGGGGTGTCCTTAAGAGAGGAGGCAGCGGGTGTTGGCACAGACCTATGGTAGCCCTGCCATCACAGACCACAGACATGGAGCTACACAAAACATCGGATCACAGCAGCACCAGGAGTATAATCAACAGGTACCCGAATTTAGAGTTGCATCCTCTATTTGTCAAAGATAACAAGACCACACAGGGGTTGACCATTAATTAGTGTAACACCTACAGTTTAACTCTCTGAAAGAGCAGCAGTGCCCCTCTGCTACACGGTCTGCAAGAGCTCTTAGGAAAAATCACCCTGGTGTACCCCCATGGACAGAACATACCCACGCTGTGATAGGGTTCAATTAAATTTGCATTATCACTTTTTCCTTCACAGCCTAGGCCTCCTCCATAACTGCAGAGCAAGAGGACAGTATTTTTCATTTAAAAGGCTGCTTTAAGTGTATTTTTGTATCTGCACTGGAAGACGGGCAGCTTCAGGCAAAAAAGCCAAAGTTCTGTTACAGTTCATTTTATAGTTCAGAACTGGGCGATTTCAGGATTTTTAGTTCTTCACGAGAAGCACTTGTTTGGCAAAGCCCTGAAATCAGACGCTATTTCGGTTGGCTGCGTTGCCGACTCTCAGTATTTCTGTATAAAGGATGTTTTTACCTTCAATGAAATGCCAGGAAAGAAGATGAACTCATCAGAAAAAACATCTCTCAAGAAGCTGAAGCAGCTACAGACTTCCTCTGAAAAAAAAAATATTGTAAAGTGCCGTTATTTAAAAACCTAATTTAAAACATGCAAGTGAAAAGCCATTTACTCCTTCTTGTAAAGAGTACCTACTCCAAATAAAATTTGGACTTGACATTAAAAGCCATACATACATATACAGCAGAAATCACCAACAGTACAGCAAGTACTCGAAGCTCTTGATTCAGTTGTTCCCAGAAGGAAAGAGCAGGGAGTAGCTTCTCAGAACATGAGTTAAATACCACATAATCAGACACAAAACTAAGGTGTGTATTCTGAAAAGTTTCTTTAAGAGCCAAGTATTGGAAAACACTGGAATACTCAGAAACAGTAGTGGGAAGAGAAGGAAGACAGGACTGGCTGCACTGTACACAAGTGGGAGCTGCGTGTAATTTGTAACCTAGAAAGCTGTAAACACCAACACATTAAGACACTTGGGAATTGGGATCAGCCCATCTTAACCCTGCCCTCTCAGCAGAACACACCTGGTTTCGAAAGTAACCCAGTGTAGACAAACAAAAAAGGCAAGTAAAATACCCCCACCCTCTCCCAAAACGGACACCTCATGCCACAGGACCTTGCGTGGAGTATAAAGGTCTCTGGTAGCTCCCACTGGCAGCCACAGGAACCTCGAGCTGCTCTCAGAGCTGACAGTGCCAGGAGGAAGCTCGCGGGCTGTCAGAGCTGCCCCAACGTACCTTTTCTGAAGCTGCGCGTCATCTGCAAGGCCAGTGCCACCAGAGACGGACGCACAAACACGTTCAGCAGCTGGTTTCTGTAGGTGGCACACATGAGGACAGCCAGAGCACGCTTAAAGACGATTTCCCCTACGGCTCCATCTTCTACTCCTTTGTCGTTTAGGACCACGTGGCCATCGACAAGGCGAGCAACGTTAGGATGCAGCGCGAGGGCAGACACAACCGCTTTTTTGGCACACAGGTTATCTAGCAGGAAAAAGCAACACTCAGGAAGATGCAAAAAGGAACATAAGTCTATTGAAACAGCCTAAAATGCACCAGTATTTCATTGAGTTTTATCACTGAAGACAAATTATTACACCAAACATCGGTAAGAGAGATGTTCTAAAATAACCTCTACCAGGGGTTGGCAGCCTAGGCACAGTATGGGATGGAGAGAACAAACGTCAGACATTCTGAATCAAAGCATTTTAAATTCTTCTACTTGCTAACAACACAAATGCTTCCTTTGTCTCTGGAACAAGCCTCCAAACAAAAGAGCAGGGAGCTGTTTGCTGGCTACATTAATCGCTAAGGAAAGGGAGACCATACTTTTGCCGAGGCATTTCTGACACTGCGAGTTTTGCAATCAGACGCACAAGTCTTCATAACGTTTCTCCTCAGTTCTCACATACATGGCAGGCCTCATCCCAAATTAAGTTTAAATAAATCCTAACATAAGTGACGTTACATAATGTACCTGCCCAAAGAGAAACCAGGCTGTACTTAAACCCAAACCTTGCCCTTGTTTCGTAAAGCAATCCTTTTAAAATGCCTACAGCAAGGAAGTGTCTGGTTTCAATTTTTTTTTAAAACAACAAAGTTCTTCGAAGGCAAGCATGAGTTTCACAAACCTGTGGGGTTTGGTTAAGCTTTTTTGTCAGTGTTACACACCACGCACTTTATTAAGATAAAGAGCAGCATCTCAAGTCTTGAAAATACACTCACCTGTTTAGAGTACCTTACACTTTAAACACTAACAAAACACTCCCTGCATCAAATGTGAACTCTTTGCCAAGCAAGGAAAGAAGCACTAAAAACTTCATATGGAACCCTAAAATCCACTTTACATGTTCACAGCACCACAAGTGTATGAAATCAATATAGCCTCTCACAGGGAAAAAAAAAATTACATTCTTTCTCCTTGACATAGATTTCACGTCGAATCTCCTTGCATCTTATATGCTCCTTCAGCCTCCTCTGTTCCACTTTTGCTAAAGCTCCCGAGTTTCTCTCAATGCAAAAAGAAGCAGAAGTCTGAGTGAGCCGTTTTTGCAGTTCCTGTTTTTAATACAAAATTTCTGACAGCCGAGCAAATGTTCTGCCCATAACAACCAAGCAGCATGACAAAAGCAGAAACACCTGGCTGTCTGGAGACAGAAGAACAGACAGGCTACACGTAGCTGCTGACTTGGTGACGTTGCTGTATTCATCTTTAAAACGTAGTTATTCTTTCAAATTACTGATGATCCAGAACAAAACAACACACCCAGTTTCTATGCAACCGACGCCTAGAGTGGGGCCGGCACACTCCAACAACGTCTGCTACCTTCACCGCTTACGTCCCGAGGCTCTAAAATTAGTTACCTGCGTCACCTGGGCTCACACAGAGAAGTTTAAAACAATTGTTCAGACAGTTTGGAAGGAGAAATCAACCTTTCCTCAGCGCATATATATATAAACATTATATATTAAAAAAAAAGTGTGCGTACAAATATAGAAATAAAACCACCATTCTCCCCGAAAGCCATCACCGTTTCTGGGGATAAAGTGAAATTTAAAAATAAATAGACAACTTAGACTTTTGCTTTTCCCTCCCCCGTTTGTTTCTTTGCCACAGTAACAACTTACACTGCAGTCAATATGAAGCAATAAATGCAGCATTACACCAAATTACCTGCTGGGCAAATCTCAGTACTCTCATACAAATACCTTATGACTTCCCCCTCGTTCCACACTTCAGGATGTAACAGTAAAACACCTGTTTCTGCTTCCACCTAACTGTTTCTCAAAGTATTATCTTCTATAGCCTAGGTCAAAACCTGTCAGGTTCCGGCATCATTTTTAGCATATCCTAAAACCCATTTACATCTCGGAGGAAAACATTCTGCGAAGTTGTCACCATACACCGCTTCAACGGAAATATAATTTATCCTTCATGAGCATCAAAAGGAATAGAAATAATACTTTCTCTGCATACCAGGCCATTCAATGAATCCTCCAAAAGTCTGTGTTAAGCCTTTAAGCCACAGGGTCTTTTCTATTAGAAGTTCAAAATTCATGGCTGGCAAATTCTGGAGAAGGACAGCAGCAACTAGCACCCACGGGCTCAAAACCATGTTTTCTATTTGCAGGAGCTCCATCTTATAAGCTACGTCACTGACAAATTCTTGGATATCCTCAGATGGCTTTTGGGGAAGGTGCCTGTAAAGAACAATGCAGTTCAAGGTAAAGAGCTCCAAAAACTGGGATATAAACCACACCCTTCTTTATTTGTTCCATACTGCTCCCAGACCTGTGAACTACTGTACAGCACCTAACATCTGGAGGGTGATTCTACCTATGTGCTACGTCGAACGGAAGCAGAGAGGAAATCATGACAGTATTTGAAACACGGATCTCTGTATCGATGCCGTATGCTTGCCATCCTAAACAAAATATAATCAAAAGCATTCTGGTTGTCTAGTGGAGGGTGTCCCTGCCCACGGCAGGGGGGTTGGAACTGGATGGTCTTCAAGGTCCCTTCCAACCCAAACCATTCTGTGATTCAGTGATTCTATATAACGAATTGCAAGGGCCACCCAATGCAGTCACAGCTACAGCTCCCCGGCATGTGATCAGGGCCCTAACAGTTTGCAGCAGCAAAGCAAGAATGGAGAGGAAAGCGGAATTTTTAAGTGGCAAACCCACCGAATTCTCAGAAAACAGAGCTTTGCCTGGCTTATGCACGATCGTTAAATTATCAAACAGCATCTTCTCGACACTGTACAAAGCACAACCCGAAACACTCAGTCACAAGCACAATAAACCTCTGCTCAGACAGAACAGGTTCAGTGGTCTAAACAGTTAGATGGAGGGGAGATGAGAGAAGTTGACAACAAAGTACACGAGAACACCTGAATTATTTTACATAGGTGAGGACTAAACAACGGCTTTTTCTGTGCATACACCATGGAAAAACGTGGTACCTGGGAACCAAATTGTATGGGCACCGATTGATTCTCTCAGATGCCAAGGTTCTAAGTGATACCGGCTGACCAACGTAGACATGTATGGTACCAAAATTGTCACTGAGGATTCTTCTGGCTTTTAACAACCCCTGTGAAAACGGGAAGAGCAAAACTCAAATTTTGGTGCTGCAGGATGTGTATACATTTGCCTACGTTCTGCGCTTAAGGAATTTACGTACAGATGTAGATTCTTTGGGCTTTGGGACTCCAAGGAGTTCATATGCATAGAGAGATTCTTCTAATATCCTCTCATAGCTGATGCTGATGGGAACGAGGTACGTGTCAAAGACTTCACGTTTGAAAAATGGTTCCATCACGATACTGAGAAGACCTGCAAGTTGAAAAAAAAAAAAAAACCACCACCAAAACAAACCCAAAAAAGTGTATCACTTCTCTTTTTTGAGGCAAGAAAAAGCAACTTTAAAAAAGCTGTCTTCAAATTTTAGAAACTGCTAATAGGTGAGCACTGTGCCTGTTCTCTCTTCAAGCAGAAGCACAAGACGTTGCCCAAGCTTTAAAACAGAAGGTAAGTGTAAGCAATGTGTTTGGACAGCTGTTTGTGCTCTTTTCAGCAGCACTGCTTTGCACTCACACAGCATCTTCCTTCTACAGATTCCCCATTACTTCTACAGTTAGCTTACAGTATTTCTCTGCTGGTCAGGGGACACCTGTTTTCTAGAAGAAGGGTGAAGAGTTATGCAATGACGTACGCAATGGGGCAAAGGGAGAGAAAGCAGCAGCATGCAAGAGGGGTGTATTACCGTTCTTGGTATATGGCCTCGGAACTTCAACCACAGTGTTTTCCACTACTCTGACAGACCTCACCAGTTTCCCAACACTTCAGCATCCCTCCCTGTCTGAAGAGCTTACAAAGCACATTGACACTAATGAAAGCGCTACCAATCATAGAAAGTTCCAAGTTTTCAACAAACTTACCAAACTTTGGAGTCAGAGTCTTGGCGGTGCGGCTTCTAGTCCCTTCAAGAAAAAATTCAATCGGGGCATAGCCACTCTTCAAAAGTAAAACAAACAAAAAAAGCTGGTCAGAAAAATAAAAACATTTCTTCTTAACTGCCCACAAATAGTTTTAAGTACTTAACATATAACTAAGTTCTTTTAATGGAAGCCATGCATGTCTAACCTCAGTGATCTCTAAGCCCACAAATATTCATTGTATTTGCTACACCATACAGTTAAATTAAAACGATTGTATCTGCCATGAGAAATGGGTTCATGATGCAAAGCAACCAATGAGCAGCAATTTGTTTACTGCTTAAGCATGACAACAGAGTGCACACATGCTCTTCACCTACGGCAATTCTGAGGTAAAATACATTTAATCAGATCACACTGAAGACTTTCAATCACACAGCTATAACACGGTGCACATTTCACAGGAATCGTTCCAACAGAGTATTTCTTAAGCATACATTTTGAGAGTTCAGTAATTTATTTACCCTTAACATCGTTTTTACATATTCAGCAAACACTGCCCAGTAGAGCCTGTTCCCACCAAAGGAACGCCGCATAAAAAAGGCACCTGCCCTTCGTAGCAGCTCACCCACTATCTTCATTCCTAGGAAATCTGAAAAACAATCAAACGAAAAACAAAACCACACACACACACAACTTATTAATCAATATCAGCCAGCAGAATCAACCACTTCCTTTAATACACTGATTCAATTACCAGAATAAAGAAGATCTCTTTCAAGGGTTTTGGTTTCTCTCAGAGTGTCTAGCAAGACATATGTAGACAAGAATATTCTAACACAATTTCAATTTTTCTGTAAGGAGCATTCACTTAGGGCAATTTATTTTCATAATTTAGATGGCCAGACTTCAACCATAATGAAGACTAAGTTTTTGAAGTACATTGTCTCACTCACCTTCAGAAAGACCAATTACCACTGAATGTACCCTAGAAGACACAGAAATTAACTGACCAATTACACTACATTATACCATTTATGATGCTGACTCATCACTCTGGGAGTTGTACACCAAACCAAGTAAAATTTTTTATAGTTTTCTAGCTTTAGCAATGATGGTCAACACTTAACTTGTCAAAACCAAGCAAACACTTAACATTAATACATTTCTTAGGGAAGCATTTTAAAGCGGAGCCACTCAGCAGCTGGCCCTGTGCTGCTTCAACCTCCTTGCCACCTCAAGCCATCAAACACTTAAGAACAGATATTCACGCAGTAAAATAAATTCACATTTCCAGCTGCAACAATTGCAATGAATGCCTTGAAAATGCCACGTAATATGCCACACGAACAAACGTGATACATGTATTAAAAAATCCCAGAGAAATTTGCTACAGGACCCTGGACAGCAATAGCAGCTGTCAGAGCTTCCCACATCCTGCTGTCCATCTTTTTGCCTTACCCTCCTCCTACCCACCCTCTCTCACCACAACATGGACTCTATCCCCTCCCTTACTTCCACCCTCTTGCCGCACACTCAACCTCCCAACCAGGATGATGGCTGCATGCCCAACGCCTCTCCCCACCCCACACACTGGGACTGAAATGCACCCTTTCACGTACCTCCAGCTGACACCACCTCCCCAGCTCTGCGCCTCTTATCTGACTCGCTCCCGAGACCGGATACAGAAACACAATCCCAGCACCAGCTAGATTCCCAGTAACGTACTGTGTGAGCACGTACTCTGGCATAAGTGGTGACTGTGTACGTTCCCTTAGCTAACCCCGCCAGACGTGTCCCTACGCTACACGAAGCCAGGCAGTAACTAACAAACCACCGTACCACCTATACCAGGAGGGTGTATGCTTTGACAGCGAGCTTGCAAACGGCATCTTGGGAACCTCTCACACAATATGCAGGAAATACAACTACAACCATAAAGAAGTGTGTTTTCTTCAGAGGAATTTAAAATAATACACACATGCAGACATATAATCCAGCTGAAAGCACCTAATTCTGAAGAACTTTGACCCCAAAACACTTTAAAAAAAAGGTTAATTGCTAAAAAAAAAAAAAAAAAAAAATCCCTCGAAGCTAAACTAACAGTATCTTAAGATACTGTTTTAAGGCCCAAAACTCAAAAAGGCTCTAATGCAAAAGTCAGCAAAGGGTTACACCAATACCTATGACAGCATGTGAGCAGATTCTGAACAACATGCAACAGGTAAGCAGCTGCAACACCCTGATCAAGGCAGCCATGAAACATCAACTTCTGCGTTCACCAGGATCTAACCTGCGTCACCCAGAGGCAAGATACCACTAACCCAAAGACCAGCAGATTCTCATCTTCCCTATCAAGCCCATTCCCCCAGCCTCTGCTAATTGTCTACTGGTCTTCCTAACCTTTTGACTGGAAAAGTGGACTACAGCAGGGTAGTCTAGAGCCTTCCGGATCTTTGCTAGCTTGCCTGTGCACATTACAGCCCTGCACCAGACCTGAGGTCGTTGTCTGTCTGCTCAGAAGAGCTGGTTGATACCCAAGACTTCCAAGATCAGGTTTCTCAGTTAAGTGCTGCCAGAGTCTGGATTTTCAAAAAGCACATTAACTCAGAAGATATTTATTGCTAAAGTCTTCAAGAACTGTTTCCTGCTAATATACTGGCTTCATCTGCTTTCTAATTATGTCCAAAATTGTGACCTCTGATGTGAAATTTCGTTTCCCAGCCAGCTCTGCTGTCAGCAATTCTCACAACAGAGTTCTGCCAATGCTTCAAGGGAATCAGTTGCATCAGCAACAAGCAGGAGGTGGCTGGCACTTCCTATCTGGCTACTATGACTGCACTTAAAAGTGTATGAATTATCACAACAGGTCTGCTCCTGGGCAAGTTTTTGCCTGTTTCAAGGGCAAAAAAGCACTATAGAAGTCTTCTTCACATCACCTATCTTTGCCCTAGGCTTGGGTCTACAGATGGGATACTTCTTGGCTCACTTGCTATGAAAAAATTCACCTCTAATTAGACTCAGCACCAATGAGACACTGTAAGCATCTCAGCCAAGGAGGCTTTAAGAAGACATGTTTGAAATGGAAGTTAAACACAACTACTTATAGTAGCAGCTACCAGACCCCTTGCTACTGATTCTCTGAATCCTGAAAACATTGTTAAGAGAACATACTTGCCTATTCCTGCAGCAATCACAGGCAAAGCCAAGTCATACGTATATAGCAAATAAGACAGCATCAAAAAGTCGATGTAGCTTCGGTGGCTGGGCAACAGTACAACTGGATGCTCCTGAATGGCGTGTTGCAACTAAAAAAAAAAAAAAAAAAACAACAAAACAAAAAACCCCAGCACAAACAATATTGTACCAGTATTTACAGACTGACTGTTGAAATTTGCAAATTCAGACCTTCACAGGGCTTAGGACAAACAGAAGCAGATTTGTCTGAGGTTTCTCTGTCCACATACCCTATTACTTTTTCAGCATGGAGCCACAGGAAATTTGGAGCAGTAGTTTCCAGACGCAACTTGTGATTCACAAGCATCACAGGACTCAAAAACCAGGGCCACCTCGTTTGGTGACAGTCTAATTCAAATCCCTTTTGATGGGGATGAGCAACCCAATAGGGGCAACCCTTACAGGCTGACATTGCCATGTTCCAGGAAACGCACTGCACCCTCCAGAACAGCAGCACCCTGCAAGGAAACAGGGGGACAACAGCTCCCCAGGGAACTGGGGCAAACTTAAGGCATCTCCTGTCTCAGAGGTGAACAATGTTTCGCCACCCTTCGCTGTATGAAGGTTTTGCAGAACAGCCAACACAGCCACGTAACATTAGGCTTTCACTCCCAGTTCAGCTAAATGCATCATCAAATTTATATATCAGAGAAGATAAACTCCCTCATTGGCTCATCTAGCAGAATCACTCACATACAACTGCAAGTATTCCTTACCGTGGGAAGCATTTGGAAAATGCACAAGAAGTCCTGCTGATTGACTCTAAAATCTGTCTTTTCTCCCCCTTATTGAGAAATGCAATATTAAACACAAGTGCAGTCTTCTTTTTCCAAGGGTATTTTTGTATTTGTTTTGTATTCAAAGATCAGAGTCTTTGTCCAAATGACTGGGATGAAAATATTATACCTTTCCCCCCTCCCCCCAAGTACTCACTCTCTGCATTCCTTCTTCATTCACACAAACTCTCTGGAAAAGCCGTTTAAATATTTTGCTCAGAGTAAAAGCAAAAAATCTGACAGCTCCTAATTGCATACTGTGGCCCATCTCATCCAGGATTTCCGTGGCTTCTTCTTGAATAATATCAGGTGATTCTCCCATCTCTTTTGCTAACTAAACAGAAACAAACCAAACAAAACAGCATCAGATGTTGCTCACCTCTCCTCATCCGTGCAAACCATTCTGTGTACCACAACAGTTATGGCAGAACTACTGCGACAGTCAGCAAGATTCTGCGTGAGAGGCATCCACCTAATCATACAGAATCCATTCGGTGTCTGCCAAGTTAAAGCTGTTCAAGAATGACCTTGGATGTCGGTGGGGGGGGCAGGGTGTGGAACACTTTTACCCCTGCAAACACACCATATCTGAATGTCTTACCCTGTAGCATCTCCAGAGGAGATTTAAGTTCGAAAAACACTTCCTGAAGAAGGCTGTGTGCGATTTTCTTTGGCTAGTAAAAGGAAACCTATGTTTGCAGAGACGTTCACAGTGTACATTTCTGAAGTGTATTTAGGTTAGGTTTGAAGACTTGACTGAAGAACCTCAGGCCTATCACTCTTGAACTTCTTTGTAACGTATTTGGCAATGACTAGCTGAAACGCATATAAAGCACTGTCTCTACCAACTTTCCACATCAGTGATTTTTTTCTCTTGCTATGCTCATGCCCTTCTGAAGTTTCTTAAAGCAGACTAAAATAATGGTCGTCCACCCTATTTGATACTTTGAATTTAAACATACTTAATTGAAAACTTAGTCTTCTACTGTTACGGAATGAGGTACATGCCTTGTACAGAATACAGAGGAGGAAAGAGAAGGAATGGCAGAAGGAAAAGCCTCCAAATGCAGCATGTCTCCGTTCAGAGGCCAGCACTGCTTACCTATTATTTCTATTTTGTGACATAGGAGAAAATCCCTATCACCCAATCTACCTCCATATACCACCTTACTACCTTACCTACTGGTTCAATTGTGTGTTAACAGATGCGTTATCCTTCATCCTGCATATTTCCACATGGAGCTATAACTGATTATTTTAACCACTTAAAGAAGCCAAAAACTGCTTCCCTTTGAGCCCAAGAAAAATCCAACTCTCTTAGGAAATCAAAAAATTATTCTCATTATTCACTAGAGGAAGAGGCACTGTTCTCATTCGCCAGGAAAAGGCTCATCACACAGTTGATCCTGTGTGAATTAAGTCCACATCCACAACAGAGCTAAGCACCTAACCCCTAAAAACAGGAATCAAAAAAACAGACCTGTCCCATACAGCAAGATAAAACAAACAAATGCATTTAATTTCACATGCTGAACATTAGTAGCCTTGGCAATCTGTGACAAGAACAAGTTCTAGTGAGCCTAGAAAAGCTGAGTAAACTCTGCCCAGACAGGAGGCACGCTAACCGTAGATGGTTGGGCATAGTGCCCGAGGTAGTCTCAGTTAAGATACTTTCAGTAATCTCTAGCTCAAAGCTGAGAACGAGGTTGCAGTGGCAGGTCTGGTAACCCCCTTCAACCCCCTGACGCTAGCTTGGAAAACATCACCAAAAAAAGCAGCACTTCAGAAGAAAACATCACACAAATGTCTTTCTGTAAAATCCTCTGCAAAATATTTTCCTTCAGTAAATGTTTTAGTGTTTCTAAAGTTGAAAAAAAATTTTTTTTTTGATTTCATACTACTTAGCAATTCATAACGGCACCTTGGAACAACATGGTTTAGTTTGTCACATCGTAACGGATTTTGATATATCACAGGTAACACTGACCATGGGAAAAAAAAAAATGTTAAGGTAGCCACTCGCTTCAGACTAACCAAAACATCTTCTGTACATCTCTGGACCTGGAATTATTTTTCATGAACACTGACAATAGTTACTCTGTTGACTAACACACCCTCTTATTTCAGCCACTTAAACACAATATAGAACATGAGCCAGTTTGACTACAAAATATTTTATTCATAGAACCACAGAATGGTTTGGGTTGGAAGGGACTTTAAAGACCATCTAGTTCCACCCCCCCTACCATGGGCAGGGACACCTTCCACTAGACCAGGTTGCTCAAAGCCTTGTCCAGCCTGGCCTTGAACACTTCCAGGGATGGGGCATCCACAGCTTCTCTAGGCAACCTGTTCCAGTGCCTCACCACCCTCTCTGTGAACAATTTCCTCCTGATACCCAATCTAAACCTCCCTACTTTCAATTTAAACCAGTTCATTCATTACAAAGTAGTAGCCACCCTTCATCTCAAAACAAAAGTATGGGTACGTCTTAGACAGTGTTTCTAATCCAAAGAATTCTCTGTGAAATTTAACTCTCATTTTAGGGTAAGTAGCATTTATGACTGACCCATAAATACATCACTGGCCTAAAAAATTTCTACAAGACAACTTCAAAGTACAAAACCATCTACTAAGCAGAGTGCTTAGGTCTTTCACAATGCTGCTCTGGGGCAAGGACAGTGGAAGAGGGGAAAAATAAAAAAAACAGTCAGGCACACTGGATAAGTTAGATAGTGAAATGTCATATATCCAAAATCAAAAGATTATTTCATGAATAAGCTAACGGCTTTAGTGGCATCTCCATGGTAAAGCGGTATTTGTTTTTCCTGTCTAAAGTGTATGGTTCTTAAGTTACTGATTTATTGGACTGTGCTTCAAACTACAGCTATCGTGTTTGACAGCGCTGATTGGTGACAGCCATCATGGATTCACTAGGAGAAAATCACACCTGACAAATCTGGTGTTCTTCTATGATATGGTACAGCACTGGCGGATAAGGGAAGAGCAACTGACTTGCAACTGGACTTGTGCAAAGCCTCTGGAACTGTCCTGGAGAAAATCCTTGTCTCTAAATTGGAGAGACACAGATTTGACGGATGAACCAGTTGGTGGATAAGGAATTGGCTCAATGGTCACACTTGGAAGACTGCACACTTGTGCAGTCAACAGCACAATGTCTGAGTAGACATCGGTGACGAGTGGCATTCCTCAGGGGTTGGTGTTGGGACTGGTAATGTTTAACATCTTCGTTAGTGACATGGATGACGGCATTGAGTGCACCCTCAGCAAGTTTGCTGACAACTCCAACCTGTGTGGCGCGGTCGACACGCTGGAGGGAAGGGATGCCATCCAGAGGGACCTGGACAGGCTGGAGAGGTGGGCCACTGCCAACCTCATGGAGTTCAACAAGGCCAAGTGCAAGGTCCTGCACCTGGGTCAGGGCAATCCCAAGCACAAGTACAGGCTGGGTGGAGAGTGGATAGAGAGCAGCTCTGAGGAGAAGGACTTGGGGGTACTGGTAGATGAAAAGCTGAACATGAGCCGGCAGTGTGCGCTGGCAGCCCAGAAAGCCAACTGTATCCTGGGCTGTATCAGGAGAAGTGTGGCCAGCAGGTCGAGGGAGGGGATTCTCCCCCTCTGTTCTGCTCTGGTGAGACCCCACCTGGAGTGCTGCATCCAGCTGTGGAGCCCACAACATCAGTAAGATATCAACTGGTTGGAACGAGTCCAGAGGAGGTCACATAGCTGGTCAGAGGGCTGGAGCACCTCTCCTATGAAGAAAGGCTGCAAGAATTGGGCTGTTAACCCTGGAGAAGCCTCCGGGGAGCCCCTGTAGCACCTTCCAGTACCTGAAGGGGCCTACAAGGCAGCCAGGAGGGGCCTTTTTACAAGGCCCTGTAGTGACAGGAGAAGGGGTAATGGGTTTAAATTGAAAGTGGGGAGGTTTAGATTGGATATCAGGAAGAAGTTCTTCATGGAGAGGGTGGTGAGGCACTGGCACAGGTTACCCAGAGAAGCTGTGGATGCCCCATCCCTGGAAGTGTTCAAGGCCAGGCTGGATGAGGCTTTGAGCAACCTGGTCTAGTGGAAAGTGTCCCTGCCCATGGCAGGGGGGTTGGAACTGGATGGTCTTTAAGGTCCCTTCCAACAAAAACCATTCTGTGAAGGTCAGCAATAACATCTTTTTCCCTGCTGCCACACAAAACTTCGCTGTGTTCAATCCCCTTATCTTACAGCTCAGTGTGCAGACTCACCTGCTTGATAACGTACTGAACTTGTTCTGACTGGAGAACCGCACTTTTAATAGAGTTTGGCTTGCAAGGTGAAAGTCCCTTGTAGATCACAGGAGTGTAACATTTCATCGCGTATCTCAAGTCACTGGACAATCGTCTTTCCTCCAAGATATCTTCAAACTCATCTCTCTTCTTTGATGTGAGCTCTTTCTGCTGGGAACATACAAATAAAGAATGAGACACTGTCTTGAGCCATTCAGTGCATTGCTTGGCTACAGTACCAAAATAGTGGCATGCAATACTTTTGCAATGTTTAGGGTTTTTAGCTTTTTATAGTGCCTGCACTCCACACTCCAAGTGCATGAACAAGTATTACCCGTTTGGAATGATCCTGCAGAAAGAAACTAAAAAGAAAAGGAAAAAACCCAGTAACAAACCCCAACCTTTTCCAAATGCAAAGATCCCCAAATCACCCTATGACACATGCCCAAGAGGAAGAAGCTGAGAGAACACCAGGGCTTTGAAAGCTGAAGTGCCTTGCCTCCAGCCTCTCCATGATTAATAGGTATTAACTAAAACACCTTTGACACCAACACTCACAGCTGCACGAAGACAATGCCATGAATGACATTATAGGAACACAATCATCAGCACAAAAAAAAATAATCCCCACTACTTTAAGTTGCATCTGGGACCTCGGTGATTCATCCTGGCTTTCACCAAGCTCGGACATAGGGTATATAAAACACAGCCAGTCAGGACAAACCAAAAAAAAAAACCCAACCCATTATCAGCACGTGAAGATCAAAATGCAATATGGTGCACAGGTAGGTAAAAAGTGAACACAGCCTCTGAGTAATTAACACCATTGCTAAACAGGAAAACAAATGGTACATCAAGAACTAATTGTGGATCCATCCTGCCACGGAAATCTCCATGACAAAACTCTGCCTTGAGTCAGTGAGCAATCCCTGTGCTGGAGGAGATGTCTCCTATTATCTCTTATAACACTGCAGTTCATATGAGTGATGCCTCAGTCTTTCTAAAACTGAAATTGTATTTCCCTGAACTTCAAAACAGCAGCAATAGCCACCAGACAAACGAGGCAACTGGCGCAAGCCTCTGTGAAACACAAATATAAAAGTATTTGTTATGATCAAGCATATTTATTAGAAGATGCTAAAAATAAAAATGCTTATGTCTTCCTCTCCAGCACTCCCTAAAGGGTAGCACAGACACCCCTTTCATTCATTCTGCTTCCTCTCCCTATATGCAACCTGTGCAGAACCAGTCTGAAATGAAGGATAAAACATGTTGTTTCATTTCATGAGCTCTTACAGTGACCTTTTCTGGTGGTGAGAGGAGAGCCTGGCCAGGAAACACACAGGAGAACACCAGATAAGCAAAACGCCCAGCAGTGGCGGCTGGGTTTTCAACCTTGGGAGAGGGAGTCAGGTTTCAGTGCCAGCTGACCACAGCCACATCAGCAACACCATCAAACACAGCTGACATTTAAAGTAAGTAGAGAGCAAACATTCAGTTCCTGGCCGTTCATCAAGGCAAGATAATTTGGAAAATAAAAACACCCCCCAAAAAATCGATTTGGGAATATCTCCACTTAAAAACCACAAAAAAATCCTTCAAAGCCTCAACTGCATCAAAAGCCAGTTCAATTTATAGGAAACACAAATCCTACTATAGCGTTTGACCTTCTCATATTCTTTTCCCCACACAATACAGTCAAATCTGGATACTACCCTCCTACCACAGCAGCATTTGGTAGACCATCTAACTTTTGACTACCAGAGTTTAGAGAACTGTCCCATAGTAACTGCAGCATGAACTCTCCAGGGACTTTCAAAAGAATCCTATACAAGGTATTAAACCCGGGCCCATATTCTTTCAAAACTTTAAGGTAGGTTTTGAAAAAAACAAAGTTTTTTTCCTGTATCGTTTAGCATTACAGTTTTCAATCTTTCTTCTTCCACATCTTTCAACTAGTTGGTGTTTTGCAAGAGCCAAGTGTGGTGGGCTGTCCCTGGCTGGGGGGCAGGTGACCACCACAGCTGCTCTGGCACTGCCCCCCTCGGCGTTGGAGGAGAGGAAATACAAGGAGAGGCTCGTGGGTGGAGACAAGAACAGGGAGGGGTCGCTCACCAATTACCGTCACGGGCAAAACAGACTCAACTTGGGGAAAAAATTAATTTGTTACTAATCGGATCAGAGCAGAATAATGAGAACTAAAGCCAAATCTTAACACACCTTCCCTCCATCCCTCCCTTCTTCCTGGGCTCAGCTTTTCTCCCAGTTTCTCTACCTCCTCCCCTCCAGTAGTGCAGGAGGACGGGCAATAGGGGCTGTGGTCAGTCCATCACACATTGTCTCTGCTGCTCCTTTCTCCTCAAGGGGAGGGATCTTCACACTCTGCCCGTGCTCCAGTCTGGGGTCTGTCCCACCAGAGACAGTCCTCCATGAACTTCTCCAGCATGAGCCCTTCCCAGGGGCTGCAGTTCTTCACCAACTACTCCAGCATGGGTCCCTCCCATGGGGTGCCGTACTCCAGGAGCAGCCTGCTCCAGCCTGTGTCCCCCATGGGGTCACAAGCCCTGCCAGCAAACCTGCTCCAGCCTGGGCTCCTCTCTCCACAGGGCCACAGGTCTGCCAGGAGCCTGCTCCAGCGTGGGCTTCCCACGGGGTCACAGCCTCCTTTGGGAATCTCCCTGCTCCAGTGTGCGGTCCTCCATGGGCTGTGGGTGGATCGTGGCTCCACCGTGACCCTCCATGGCTGCAGGCGCCAAGCCGGCCTCACCATGGTCTGCACCACGGGCTGCTGGGAATCTCTGCTCTGGTGCCTGAAACACCTCCTCCCCCTCCTTCTCCATTGACCTTGGGGTCTGCAGAGTTTTTCTTCTCGCATTTTCTCATTCCTCTCTCCAGCTGCACTTCCACCTTCTTAAATACACTATCCCAGAGGTGCTACTGACATCGCTGATGGGCTCAGACTTGGCCAGCGGTGGGTCCATCTTGGAGCCGGCTGGCATTAGCTCTATCGGATATAGGTAAGGCTTCCAGCAGCTTCTCACAGAAACCACTCCTGTAGCCCCTTCAGCTACCAAAACCTTGACATGCAAACCCCATACACTAGAAAACTGGTTATAGTTTGTGTTAGCCATCTGCTGCTAATAACACCTTATATTAAAGGCGTTAATTAAATTGATTAAAAATAAAACAGAAAAAAAAAAAAACCTTAGGCTCTGTAATAGCAAAAAAAGATAGCTCAGAATAGCACCAGAAAATATTACTTGGCTCTAAGCATACACCTACCCATATCAGTACGTTACAAGCCATTGCTCAGAAAACCTAAGTAAGATTTATGTCAATTACCGAAGTTTAAATCCTGCAGCACGCGATTACACGAAACCCAAAGAAACCCAGCGCTCAGCTCAGCTATCACCAGCCACATCAGCAGTCACCGTGCTGCTACAGCCCTTCCCCGACACAGCTCTGGTGAGCAGAGTTTTGCAAAGGCCACAGCCAATGGAAAAGTCACCTCCCTGACACCGCTCCTCATCTGACGTTTCCAGATTTGATGCGCAATTGGTTTCTCGCCACGGCAATAGTTATTTCCACGCCCTGTCCTGAAGTAACACTGAGGGAGCCAAAACACACGCTTTGCCAACAACAAAGAAAGAGCAGCACTGCTTTGTCGCATTCCAGCCAAACTGCTGTTCCAGCTGCAACTGCTGCCTGGTAGAGATCGCATTTAGGAAATAACGCCGTTGGAAGCCTTGATGTCAGAAAGTTCATCTAGTGCGCTTTTACTGCAACACTGGTGACATGCAAAAGCCAGGCAGGATGAGCCTGGAACTCCTCTGCTTCCATACAACCTTTGAAAGCAATAAAAACGAGGGCGTGCTTGGGATACCAGCCAAGGAGACAGGAGGGAAGTTTGGGAATCTCTGCTGAAAGCTGGAGCTGTTTCCCTCTCCCCCTGGTGCCCTGCTCCAAATGCCAGTAGAGAGGGGTTTAGCACCCCAGCCTCCTTGCCCGAGGCTGGCACAGGAGCTGCAGGGGGGAAATAAAAGGTTAATGAACTCGTTTTCACCATGTAACGTGGGAAAACCCGCATCAGCATCTGCGTGATGGTTTTCTAGCGCTGACTCCACAGTGGCTGGCAACCTGTCGGACAGAACCTCTGGGGAGAAGAGTCCCGGCCACTTCTCACTTTTCTTAGGCCGGTTGGTGTTTCATATCTGAGGGGAGAAGCGACGCTCGGGAGTTCTGGCTGTCACGACTGATGCGACGGCAGGGCAGCCGAGAAGGAGGAGAAGCGGGCTTGGGGCCCGCAGCGGCTGAGGAGGATGAACTTGTGAAGCGACGCGTCCGGTTCCCACTCGGCCGCCACCTGTCCCCGCCGGG